GAAATGTTCTCCTGATGCAAATTTAATGGAAGCACCATTTATAAAGGTGTAGTTAAAGTAAAGGAAGCCAACAATGCAAGTGAGGTGCCCGGGGGCTAGCAACCACGGAAAGCCATCACCACCCATAGGCCTGTGGGGCAATGTGGGCATCAGCATTACTGAAGCTCAGTGATGGCTGGAGCCATAGGACTGCCACCCAGAAGGAGCTGAACACTGGCCAGGCAGGGAGTGGGCAGGAAAGATAGAGTGTGGTGGGGAGTAACACCCGACTCCTCTCTCTTCCTACCTCCTGTCTCCTGCTGGTGCCTCCTATTGGCTGAGAAAGCAGAGGTCAGCCTTTCTGGGCAGAGAGCAGGGCAGAGAAGGATGGGAAAGGGATGTAGGGGCAAATGAAGACAAATCAGCATGATGGAAAGTCCTTTAGTTACAAGTAAAAGAAAGCCATTTAAACTGGCGTAGGCCACAATTAATGTGAGGTTAGGGAGAGAGGTGGTTCACTGACTCATGTAACTGGAAAGACTAGGTAAATCCAAAGCCTTACAACGATGTTATCAATACTTTTTTCTCTATCAACTCCCTTTTCTCTTTTCTCTCTCAATGCCAGCAATGTTCTTCCAGAACTTTCCAACAGCAGCGAGTATGACTACCAGCACCTCCCAGGTCACAGACTGAGAGCTTGCATTCCCAGGAAGAGCAGGGACTCCTCCTTCAATTCAGAAGCGCCCTGGCAAGGGTCTGATCAACTGACCTGAGTCGCATGCAATGATACACTGGAGCTAGGTAGTACTGAGGTGGGATAGTGAAAAGCTAGAAAAATTCCTAGGCAAGTGGAAGGGAAAACAGACACAAAAGTCAAATGGGGCCAAACAGTCTGAGCAGCTTGCATCCAGCAAGAGCTTATCCCGCCTAACCAAGGTCACTTGAAAGCGAATGGCTTGTGCCGCTCCTCGGCACACCAGAGAATACACAGCTTATGTCTCCCTGGCCTGGGAAATAAAGGACAAAGACCCAGTTAATGTCGGCTAAACCCAAGGACAAATGAAGTCAGGGAAACAATAACAAGAATGCCCTTAAAAGCTGGGCAGACCTAAGATAAAAGTAAAACAGTATAATGTACCAAAGAATATTCCCAAACCCCTATGCGCTTCTTTTGAAACATCAGCATATTCTTAAAAATGCAACTAGAGGCCCTGACTGGTGTAGCTCAGTGGATTGAGCGCGGGCCTGAGAACCAAAGAATCATGATTCGATTCCTAGTCAGGGCACATGCCTGGGTTGCAGGCCAGTTCCCAGCAGGGGACACATGAGAGGTAACCATACATTGATATTTCTCTCCCTCTCTCTTTCCCTTCCCCTCTAAAGATAAATAAAAATCTTTAAAAAATAAAACTGGATTATTTTTGACCCTGGCTGGTGTAGCTCAGTGGATTGAGCATGGGCTCGTGAACCAAAGAATCATGGTTCAATTCCCAGTCAGGGCACATACCTGGGTTGCAGGCCAGTTCCCAGCAGGGGATGCATGAGAGGCAACCATACATTGGTATTTCTCTCCCTCTCTCCTTCCCTTCCCCTCTAAAGGTAAATAAATAAAATCTTTTTAAAAATGCAACTAGAAAACTAATGAGTGTTCTGCTAAAACCCTCCTCTAAAAGTCTCACCAGAAGAAAAAAAATATAAAAGCCCTCAGAACAAAGACACAACACGGTCTCACTCCAGAGCATGCCCACGCCCCTCCCTGAGTATGAACTTTTTATTTCTCCCTAAATCCTAAGGGTCCCAAGGAAACTTGCAGCCAGGGGAAGAGTGGGCAGTGCCAGCTTGACCCAGGCTTACCCAGTCAGCCTGTCTCCAGGGCCCCCTTTCTCTAACTTCCAGGTGCGTTAACAGCAGCCCCACCTTGGTTCACTTCCTATAACTTTTCTGGGGATCAAAGCAGCCTGTGTAGGTTCTCTCCTGCTACTTCTTCTACCCTAAGTCCCCTTTGTTTCACTCTACCCAGGCTTAATAAACGTATTCTCGAAATCACCTGAACTCATGTTGTGAACTCTTTCCTACACAAAGTCAAGACACACACTACAGGCCGGCCTGAGGCAGACCTGCTCCAGCCTGGTGCCTGTCTGGTAACAATACCAGCCCCCAACTCAACATACAGCTTGGTAATTTGACATTGGCCATGGTGGGAGTATTTACAACATGGAAATAAGCAAATGTTACATTTACCAGCCCACCACTGACTCTCAGGCCATCATTGTACGTCAGGAAATGCTATGACAGGATAGAGCAGGCTGTCGACCCATCCTGAACAGCCCCCTAAGAACCTCATGATGTAGGGAAAGTCTCTGGAGGAAAGATTGGTACTGGTACCAGAAGGGAGGAGGAGAAGTTGGACTGAAAAGATAAGCTACAGGAGCTCATTGCAGGCAGAGAAGGAAAGGGAAATATCTAAGATGATATCCAAGACCCTGAGGAACTAGGGGGATGGTGTGGTAGTAAGTAGAGATCTGTAGGGAAATAATGAGTGAGTTCATGTATAAATAAGCTATGTATGAATTGCCTGAACACCTACTACCATGAGGAAGGCAAAATTCTTCTTCTCAAGAAACATATAGTCTAACGAGACAGGTGGTGAATAAAATGCAAAGGACCATCTTACAAGGCCAAATATAAGTGCCAGCAAAGGACACAAACCACAAAACTGGAATTCAATCTGCTGCTTCAAACTGTGGTTCCTAGCACTGGCCCAGCTGTGTGTCAAACCCAGGAAGGAGCAGAGTCTACAAGGGGATTCCACATGCACTACACCTGCCCAGGACTGGTGGGCAAAAGAGAAGCAGTGAGACAGGACTGTGGTGTGCTAAATGAGAGTTTAGAAACACCTTCTTGTTGAATGAGAAAGAGGAAGAAATCAAATTGGGCATGGCTGTCAATGTGATGAATAGGAAGGAAGATTCATTCTCCTGAAGCCTGAAAATCAGAATCGAAGTCCCTGTCTTCTGCTCAGGGGTTTGCAGCTGTGCCTGCATGACTGGTCTGAGGGCTTGACAGCAGACGGCTGGATGGGCAGAAGGATGGCCTCCAGATGTCCATGTGCAAACTCCTGGGCCTGTGAATGTGTGCTCTTATGTGGCAAAAGAGGTTTTGCAGATGTGATTAGGAGGAAGGGAGGAGGAGATTATCCTGGATGATCCCAGTGAGCCCAATGTAATCACAAGTGTTCTTGTAAGTAAAAGAGGAAGGCAGGAGGATCAAAAAAGGAGCAATTGCAAGCTGGGGGGCCACAAACCAAGGAATGTGGGCATTCCAGAGAAGCTTTTAGAAAGCTGAAAAAAGCCAGAAATAGATCTCTCTTCTAGAGGCTCCAGAAGGAACCCAGCTTTGCTGACACCTAGATTTTAGCCCCATGAGACCAAATTTTGGACTTCGGGCCTCTGGAACTATAATAAATCTGCATTTTTTAAAGAATTTATTTATTGAGTTGAGAGAGACAAACATCAATTTCTTATTCTACTTATTTATACTTTCACTGGGTGATTCTTGTATGTGGCCTGACCAGAGATCAAACCCCCAACCTTGGTGTATCAGGATGACACTCCAACCAACTGAGCTACCCATCCAGGGCAATCAGTATTGCTTTAAGGCACTAAGTTTGTGGTAATTTGTTATAGCAAGAGGCACAAATACAACTCCTAAGGACATCTGAGAAACTTTGCCTGAACCAGAATGTTGTCAGACCAAGCCCTGTGAGGTGGGGAGGCCAAGGCGATAATGAGGACGGTCATGCCAGAGTCAGTGAACCCCTATGTTGGCCTGTGGTCATGCTGCATGGTGTGCTTTCCTGAGATTGATGGGGTCCTCCTGGACAATGTGAGACTGGGTGGTTTATATGTAATGCTGGGCCAGAGGAGACAAGGAAGCTCCAAGCAGTGCTGTTTACCTTCACACACAGAATGTTGTCATTCACAGCTGTGCACACTGTGGTCCAGAAGCTTGCACCTCTGCCCTCAGAGGTGTCACTATCCTCTTTGCTGTGCCTCTGCTATATGAATTCCCTTCTAACTCTTTACAGAAACAACCCTTGAGCAATTCTCCCAAGCAGTGGCTGTATCTTGACTTTAATACATACATCTGTCAATACAGTGTTGGTGCAGTGTGGGCAGGTCGTTAGTCTGAAGTGTAATCAGAGGTTTGACACTAGTTTGCTATGGCCCTTGGGGTAGAGGTTTCAGAATGCAGGTGTCACTCCAGTTTAAGTAAAGATTTCTTTAATGATTTTTATCTATTCTGCTACGTCTATATAGTAAACCCCATTTTCACAGATTGACAACACTACCGATTAATATGTTCTTCTAAAGTTGGGCCAATTACCATGGTGTAAATATTCCCACCATGACCAATGTCAAGGTATCAATGTAATATTGATGAATGCAGAGTTGGAAAGAGATGTGCACAGTCAGCTCTCACAAGCTGGTAAGAGCTGGTTCCAGCATATCACTGCTATGACTACCCTTCACTTTCTGATTAAGAGAAAGGACACCACAATAGCAGCATGGTTGGAATGCTCGTGGAGCACTTATACTGGACCAGGCACAGTTTTAAGGGCATTACCTTTAAAAATTTTAATTCTCAAGGCAATGCTCTGTGGTAGGTAGAAATGAGGCAACTGAGGTACAGGTGAAATAAGCAGTCCAGGCTAATACCTTGTGATATGAACTCAATTTGTCTTAGTGCCCATAATCTTAAAAACTATGGTAAAGTCTTCTCTAAAACTGCACTGTTCGATACAGTAGCCACTAGCCACATTGGCTATTTTAATGGAAATTAAATAAAATTTAAAATTCACTTTCTCTCTCATACCAGACACATTTCGAATGCTCGTTAGTCACACGCCACTAGTAGCTACCGTCCTGGACGACACAGATGGAATACATTTCCATCACCACAGGAAGTTCTGTTAGACAGTACTGCTCTGAACAGATTGTCAGAAAGAAAGAAGTCACACATTTGTTTGGAAACAGTGGATTTAATGGCCTTTGTTGATGGCTATAACATAAAAACTCAAAATACACAGTTCATGTCTCTTCTGCTCTGAAATAAGCAAATTCATTCATTTACTCATTCACTCATTCATTCAACACAGTTACTGAGCACCTACTATATTTCAGAACCTGTACGAGGTTCTGGAGATACAAAGACGGATGAATAAAGGGGCACAGCTCCTGTCCTCCAGGAGCTCACAATCTAATGGAGGGGGCAGGCAACTAAAAAGGCAATTATTATGCCATAAGGAGAGAGTTATAATGGGAGATTCTAGGGTAATATGAGAGAGAGAGACCCAGACAGGTAGCCAGCTGAATCAAAGGCATTTGGGGACGGCTTCACAGAGGGGGTGATTTCCAAACCGAACACTGAAAAATAAATAAAAGTTGGCAGGTTTTAGGTGTTTTAGATATAGAAAACTCAAAGAAAGGCAGGAGAACATGGGTCACTCAGGACCTGTAAGTGAGTGGATTTCACTGAAACCTAGGATTCAACAGAAGAAGTCCGGGGTTCTCAGGTAGTGTGCTAAGGAGGAAGAGCTGGAGAGAAGAGAAAGGAAAGAGAAAGTTTTATTTTGAGTGTGGTGAGTTCGATGTACCTGTAGAACGTTCAAGGGGGTGTGTGAGGCTGGAGCTCAAGGACAAGATTGGGAAATATGAATTTAAGAATATCAGACTCAAGGTGGTGAACAAACCAAGGGCCTGCTGAGCTCATGCAGAGCGTGTGTGCAGACTGAGATGAAAATAAACTAAGAGTAACCAGAATAAATGAAGCCAGCTATAGGAAATACCCACATGTCATGGTATGCAGAGAACAAGGATAGAGAAGACTGAGTAACCACATCAAAGGATCATCACAAGGAAATGGTGTTGCAGAAATCAAGTTCTGGAACTGTCAGCTAATGCAGAGATGCCAAATGATGTAAAGCCTAAAAAGTACTCACTAGAGTTGACCTTGGTAAAATCTATTTTAGTGGAGTTCAGGAAACCAGCCTGCAGTGTTTTCAGGAAGAAGTGAAAAGTGAAGAAAAGAAGATAATAACTATGAGAGACAAGTCCTTTAAAATAATACTCAGCTGTGAAGGTTATGATTGAAGATTAGCCCTGGCACATTTGCTGACTGCACTGAAGAAGCCAGAGAACAGAGAAATGTCGAGGACCCAGGGTGGAGAAGAAGCAATAAGTGAAGCAAGGCCCCAAGGATGTAGAGGAGAAAGGAGTCCAGAGTACAGGTGGAGGAGGAAAGGGGAGGGAAGGATGGGTGCAGACATGACGAGTGTGAATACAGGGAGGGGAAACTGAGGGAATCCCATGTTCTGGCCTCCATTTTCTCCATGAAGCAGGAGGTGAGATGCCAAAAGCAGAGGATTTGAGAGCAGGGCTGAAGGACTAAAATAGCTTTTTGACAAAAGGGAAGGAGAGCCAATCAGTGGCACATGAAGCACTTCTAAGCTGAACCCAAAAGCCAGCTGAAGTTGGAGAGGAGAAGCGAGCCCACAGAGGCACCTGTGCTCAGAAAGGCCATGCTCTTTTCCTGGCTGAGCTCACATTTCCAGGTACAGAAGAGGAAGAACAAGACACTTGAATTAACCCAGGGTTGGGACTCTGTCCAGCAGGAAGGGAGAATGTGCAAAAAGGAAGGAGGGTTAGAGGACCAGCTGAGCTGGAAGGAAGTGAAGACAGGAGGAGGGTGAAACACATGACATCATAGAGTAGTCTGGGGTAGAAAAAAGGGACTGAGAAAGAGAAAGGGTAGGAGCAATAACCAGAAAGTTAGACTTTAAAAATGGAGAAGTGATGGGTGATGACAGCGCCCAGGGTGTGGTCAGAAGAGAGTATTAATGAAAAAAATAGGAATGAGTAAATTAAAAAATCTGTGAGACATGAGGGTTAGATGCTTTGTCAAGGGGACACAGAAGACGCTAAGTATGAGGAAGAGGGGATGGAAAATGGGATCATGATATGGGGAATGACCAAACAACAGTGACAAAGGAGGAAAGACAGCTTGGGGGAGGTTTTATATGAGTGGAAGAGTGGTCATTTGACTGTGCCAGTTTTGTCCCCAGGAGGATGCTGGTGCCACCTCCAGGCCTGTAGTAGAGGCTTGGCAGAACTGTCAGACTTCCTGTGAAGGCTTCTGAAGAACAGGTATCCTCAAAGAAGAGCTGAATACCAACACGAGTGTTCTGCAAAGAGGTGGCACGCTTGCCAAGTTTTCAGAGAAAGTCTTTGGCACACTTGCAGAGCCATTTGGACGGAGCACAGGGAGGTGGCAGGTCATTCTGAAGATGAAAGGGTGGGACTGGAGAAGCTAACACTTCAGGCAGAAATGACTAATATTGGGCCTCGGAGCATCACTTGTTAGCTAGAGTTCTGGGGTCAAAGGAGGCCCCAGGTGGAGGAGACTTGGTGATTCCCCTAAAAGGATGGCTCTGCTCCAGGATCCCCAAAACATTGGTGAGAGGTTTGAAATCCCAGAAAAATAACAGAGTTAGATTCATTAATTCCTGTTCTTGTGTGGAAACCAAGCGGCCTTCCAGAAAATGAAGGCAAGTTGGTCACACCCCCAAAGAGATCCTACCCCAGATGTGAAGAGTCCAGATTAGATGTTCCCTTTTATGAGAAGAGCAGGGCCCAGCACATGGACAGTAAAATAAATTAAGCAAGGCAAGCCATAATTGTTTATTACTAAGAATAGAGATTCACTGGGACAGGGAGTGGTAGTAATGAAGATGTAAAGATGATAAAGATGTAATCAAATAAAACCCACGAAGGCCAATTCTACTGGACCTGAGATCATCAGATATATGTGTTTCCAAGTTTCTCCCTCAGCTTCACCCTGAAAAGATTTAAATCCTAACAGGCCAATGGCCAGAAAAATCTCAGATATTGTCCTAGGGAATCACAAGGCTTGGCGGTGAGGTTGGGGAAAGGAGATATTCCCTCCCTGTGTTTTAGAAAATGTTTCAGAATACTTGGAAACCAGACTTTAAAAAGAGGCCTCAAGCCCACATCTCACCCTGCATATGCACCATTCTGAAGAGGTTTCAATTCTCTGGGTAGAACCTAAACAGCCAACACAGCCACTTTTTCATAACTCCACACCTACCTAAAGAAACTAGACATCACCCAACCCAGTCTGCCAAATCCTGGATATTCCAGACCATGGGTGAGAGCAGCCCAGAGATACCTGCACAGATGGGTGAGCAGCCCCCTGAGACTTCAAGCACCTGCCCCCTCAGCTCAGATGTCATCCCCTCCGTGATATGCCATGCTGCATTACACACACACACGCACACACACCAGCCATGCCTTCTACTGCCCTCTCTCTATATTGTTTACCATTGCATTTGTTATTACACAGTGCTCTGTTTATTTACATTTTGCCTCCCCAGCTACTTTTGGAGCTTCTTTCTCTCTCAGGTCCACTATCCAATAAATATTGGTAGGATGAGTGGAGCTATAGAATGAGTTGATTAAATTAAACTGAGTTGAAATTAACCAAAAGGACACAGGGGAACACAGAGCAGTGCATTCCCATAGCAACAAGGTTGAGCATTACTCTGACTTCCTCATCAAGGGTCTCCCCAGAACCCTACTACCTCCAAAATGTCTCCCCAGTCCCCCAGCCACAGTGCCCCCTCCACCAGGCAGGTCCTCATTGCTTCTTATGGAACAGAGATGGTGTTGGCTCACTGCTGGGCTCAGCCATGACCTGCATGGGCTGGTTGTTCAAGGCAGCCTCACGCATCTTGTGGTACATGAACTCGTTCTGGCGGAACAGGCGCAGCTCCATCTCCGTCTGCACCCGCATGGCCTGTGGGATGCAGATACACTGTGAACAGTGATGACAAGCATCCTGAGGTTGGTCTCTGACCTACCTCAGCCCTTGTGGAAAGGGCATACAATGGGGTAAATGACTCCCAGTCCCAAAGGAGGGAGTCACTCTCCCTTCTCAAAGGACATATCCATCTACTAGGGGCTCAATGTCCTGACAGTGGGCTCGGTTTGTTGGGGGGAGGGAGTCAGACCCCTGAGAGAGTAGCTGAGGGATTTGTTCCTAAGGGATAGTGTTTGTTCTCAGGAACCATCAAGAGGGGACCTGGTGGTGGGACCTCATGTAAGTGATAGAAACTTTTCAGCCCTCAGTTTCCTCATACATGAAATGGGTAAGATTCCTTCATACTTTCCAACAGGGTAAGAAAATTACAGTACGTGATACACACACACAAAAAGCCCTCACTTTCCCATAGGTTCATTCAAGAAATACTTATTAAGGACCAGGCATAGCTGAAAAGGTGAGGATATAGCAGTGTATAAGACTGACAAAAAACTCTGCCTTTGAGAAGCTTAATACACTGGACATAAAGTTTGTCTCCTCATGCATTTTATGACATCAAAGTCTGTCATCTTTCCCTACAGTACACTATCTGAGAACAGTCTTTGAACTCTGTCACTCTCAGATAAGCCAGCCCTTCAAATCACAAAGGAAACCAGCAGCAATTGAGAGCATGCTATTTGCCAGACGCATTCTAAACATTCACACATGAACTCACTGACCCCTCGTTACAAGCCTATCCATTTTACTGAGGAGGAGACTGAGGCCCACACATTCAATGTTTGCAGTCACATAGCTAGACAGTGGGGGAGCTAAACTCAGTCCCAGCAGTCTGACTCCAGAGCCCATGCTCCCCAAGTCTACTCTATGTAGCATATTCTCTAATGTACACAGCTGCATGTGCACACACACACACATACATGTGCACCACTGTTTAGGTTCTCTCAGTCCAAGCTTGGAGCATCCTAGTGTTCTCGTCTCACCCACTAGCTAAATGACTATGAACAGATTATTCCTCTTCCCTCGGCCTCAGTTTCCTCATATGTAAAACAAGGGGAGTGGGCTAAAACCTTTCTGAGTTCCCTTCATGTCTAGCAGTCAATCTAGGGACTTTCCAAAAGCAGAGTCCAGAACTCAGCTCTTATCCTCAGAGAGCTCAGAGCAGGCGGGGGGCCCAGCGTCAAGATGCTACTTGCCTCTAAGTCCTTGGTAATTGGGTGGGTGGGCCCGTGTGTCACCAGGAGAATGGCATAGGCTTTGCAGATCATACCGTGCCCCACCTCGATGTTACCAGCATGCCAGTTGGTCAGCCCCGCCCGCATCACGGCCATGCCCAGTTGGGCATTGTTGGAGTGGTAGAGCTTCCTGTAGGGGCATATGAAATAATCATAACACATAACTCCAGCCTTTATTGTGCCTGCAGAGTATTTTACAACTTATAAAATACTCTCATTGAAGTCCATCTGCTTTCCCACCAGTGCCATGAAGCATCTACAGCCCATCAGGAAGCAGAGAGCTGAGTGATTTGCCCAGAACCCCACACAGCAAAGATGTTGGGAGCTGAGACTCTGCCTGAGCCACTGAGCCACCCTCATGGGGGAAAGGAACCAGGACTGTGCTCCGAACTTTCCTGCAGGAAGCTGGGAGCTCTCAGGTGCGCCCCAGCCCTCTCCCTGGAAAGCAGTCAGAAGTTCAAAGGAAAAAAATACAACTTGAATGTCCTTATTGGGACAGAACTTTTTCCTCCTTGGCACCTTCTTAACAGAGCTTTCTTTTAACATGTTATATAGTTTTTCCCACATATCGTTTATGAGTAACATCCTCCCCTCAAAATGAACCTTCTTGTGCCAACACACTCATTTGGCCAGAAATGCCAATTCACATGCCATTGTGGACAGAGAGGACATTGGTAGAGTGAACGCAAGGGCATTGTATCATAATTTCTAAGAATGGCTGACACCTCATTTTTCTTTAATAAAAGAAAGCTCACGGGACTTTTTGTGTTGATTATGAGAGAGAAAACACTTTCTAAGCATATAAAATCAAGCTGGACATAGCCTTAAGGAAATCAAAAGCAAGACGTCAGATCAAGTACTATTCATGCATGAGCTGGAGGATTTGGGAATGATCAGGGATGATAAACAGGTTTCTTCTCAGATACCAGGTCTGATTACTTGGTCATTACCACTGGAAGCACCATGATTAAAAAAGAATAAAAGGGCCCATTGCAAAGAGCCCCGATTACTGATGCCTGCTGTGGGTACAGGAGGGAGAGGTAGCAACATGTGTGCCATCTAGTGTCCTGCTTGGAACAGACACATTTTAGAGAGACTGTGTGAGACCCAGGATCACCACCTACATATAGCCATCCACCATCCTGCTGGCGTAGTGTGAGGCTTCCTCGAACGCCTGGAGGTAGGAGAGGACCTCTGACACAGTGCTCAGCATCCTCAGCGTGTAGATGTTGGTGTCAGAAAACACCGACTCCTGCTTCTGCAGGCACTCCCGGCATAATTTCACAACCTAGAAGAGACACAGGTACCATCCATTACCAATGCACCACGTGCAGCACAGGCTTCATTTACATATGGGGGCTCACAATGACATCGGGCGCTCCTTCTTTGAAAGCTGAGGAAATTGCTGACAGAAGCAGGAGAGCGACAGTTTGTGGTTTGAGTAGCAAAATGGTCCTGTCAGGGTAAGATGTAGGGATGGAAAGGGTAACTGCAGTTATAACTGAATGGCAAAACGAGGAGCTTTCATATATAAGTCAGTTCATAGGTGGGAGTTATGAAAGATAAAGATCTAGCTTTACATCATTTTAGATATATATTTTTTATTCTCACAATAATACAATGAGATAGGTACCACTAATATTCCCATTTTACCAGATAAGATGCTGAAGCACAGAGAGGGTAAGTGCTTTGCTGAAGTCACACAGGTTGTGTACAATGGAGCAAACCGAGCATCAAGCTTTGTCTTGACCACCTTTCCTATGATTCTTCACCCTGGCTGTGCTCTGGAATCACCTGGAGATGTTTTTAAAAACACCTATGCCTGAGTCTTACCCTCAGAACAGTTGAAACCAAATACAGTATGTGGGGAAGGGACCCTGGCCTCTGTGGTTTGCATAAGCCTCAGGTGGTCCTTGTGCATGGTGAGGTTGAACAATCAGGTTGGCCCTGCTTGAAGTATATGAGATGGACTGGCAGGGGAGAGGCTCCTGGGAAGGTGGCAGAGCCATCAGGAGAACACCACAACGGTCCTGGTGAGAAACAAGATGGGTCTGACCCCAATCAACCTGGAGTCAGGCTGTTCTGTCTGATTCACATGTAGACACGGGCTCAGGCTGCCTTCTGTGAAGTCACATGGTCCTTAGGTTTTAGTTGTTTGCGGTTCTCTTCTTTTTCCCTTGCCACTGTCACTGAAGAAATGTCACACAATTCTTTCCATTTTAAATGAATGGAAGCTAATTTTGCTCTGAGACCACAGGCCTATGAGGCAACTGGGTGGGGATGTGGCAAATATAGGCTGGCCATCCACCGGTCCAACAGGCCGTTCTCTTACACCATGGGGTAGTGTCCAGCCCCATACCTGCCCCTGGGTTGTTCTGATTGGAAAAAAGGAGAAATGAAGAGGAGGGGAGAAGCCAGAAGAGTGGGATGAGTAGGGCCCTCCTGATTGCTCCAACTCCTACCTCGTGCCTCTGACATAGATTTTCCACATTGTTCAATAACACTTTGTTCACATGATCATCTCCCCCACCTGAAGGAGCTCTGGGAGTCAAGGAGAATGTCCTGTATCGATCTCCCCAGTAAGGGCTCAAAAATGTGCCAACAGTGAGAGAGTAAAGGATGAAAATGAAGACCTCTTTTCATTTTCATGAATTGTTTAAAGAGCTTGAAAAATATGGATTTATGTTTCCTGTATTCTGTTGCATGTTGGATAAATCAGTCTTAGGAGATGAGACACAGGAATCTATATTTCTAAAAAACTGCCTAGGGGAATTCAGTGCAAGTGCTCTGCAGGTCAGTGGGTCTCAACTTTGGATGCGCATCGAAATCACTTGCAAGCTTTAGAAATCCTGGTGTCTGGGTCCCATCCCAAGAGCATCTGGTAGAGTTGTCCTGGGTTAGGGTCTGAGCAGTAGGATTTTTCAGTGATCCCAGTATGCAGCCAGCTGAGAACTCCTGGTGCTTTGGGAGCCAGGGCTAAATGCTCAGTTAGCAGAGACTGGAAACTGTAGCCAAGACATGCATTTAAATATAGGAAAGCAAGCAACCCACTGCCATCTCGATTTTTCCATTTCTAATGCCAACCTGAGATATCACAGATCCCCCGGGGACATTTGTCAGGCTGCCTGTGTTCTTGGCCCCAGTTTCAGTGGGTTGAATAGTCACTGAGAACACACCCCTCAGAACTACTAAAAACATAAGGGCAAGAGGAGTCCTGGTCTCAACAAAGGGACATCTTCCTAAAAATCAACCTGCTTGGTAGCCTCTCCATCTTCACTCCACTCCACTTCATTTCCTGACTGGAGAAATTTTCTGCCTTCCTCTCCATCCCTATCCACCAATAAAAGGAATTCTTACCTCATGGTACAAGCCCTCAGAGCGAGCCTTGTCAATTTTTTCGAGTGTTTCCTTGGAGCACTGTATCATCTCCTTCACCGCATCCTGAGAGGGCTGGGAAAGGGAGGAACACTGAATAACATCTCTGCGTAGTTGCCATCTTTGATGTTCAATGCATTACAAAATTGATGCCTTCCCCATTCTGAAAGCTGCATTTCTAAAAATGCTGCGCAAGATCCCCATAGCTTTTGCAGCTCCCTCATCACACTCTGACTCATGTTGTAGTTGCCATGGACCAAGCCCCAGACCCTTACTGCTGGCCAGTCATCCTTACCCTGTACTCATGTCTGGGCTTTTGGACCCAGTATAGAATCTGACATTGCCTCCCACTGTATTTTCTCTGGCATTTTGGATTCTCATTCAATCACCCAAAATATTTTTCATTCTCCCTCTGTACTCCAAGTCAATCATATACATTAATACTACATCCCTTGCTCTTTTGTCTTTGCCCAAGTCATTGACTTAAATACTGGCCAGCACAGGGCTGAGAACAGAGGCTGAGGACTTGACTAAAGTTTGTACTCCAGTTTTCCACTGTAGTTCACGGAAGACAGCCCTCTAGATTATGGAAATCCAAACCCTCCCAAGTGTCCTATGATCAGTTCATATTTTCTTGTTTTCACCAAAAGAATATTATGAGAGAATTTGTCAGCTGTCTCTGTGAAATCTAGACTCATTAGGCTCACTGCATTTGCCTAAGGAATCCAATGATATTGTTTTTAAAATGTGGTTTTGATATTTGAAGCAAGGAGATACCATTATGAAGAAGTCTATGAGGGCACCATAATTTCAAAGTACCAAAATTTTTTATAGTCAGAGAAAATGTGTATCTGCTGTGCTTATCCATATTAAAACTCTTTTCTCATTTTTGTTTGCTTAAGCAAATATGATCACATTTCTTCCAAAATAAAAGTAAGTTTATTATTTATTCTGACTATAAAATTAAAATATATGAAAAACACATGGAGAAAAAAGTAGAAATCCCTCAAACCCACCCCAAAGATGAACACATTTTAAGGAACATTACATTTTACCATATATACACCGTGTGTGTGTGTGTGTGTGTGTGTGTGTGTGTGTGTGTGTGTACTTCTGGCCAAATGAAGGCATAGGTGGAAACACTGTGCCTCCTTGCACAACCAAAATTAAAGACAACAAGAATTTAGAAACAAAAACACAATCAGAACAGACAGAAAACTGAATTGTACGGAAGTCCAACAACCATTCGACCAGATGGGTAAGAGGGGCGGAGTCAGTGGTCAGAGGAGAGGGGTTCCAGCAGGAAAAGGCAGTGGCTGCCAGACCCAGGAGTGCAGGTGGCACAGGGCTGACCTCGGTCACAGATTCACATGCAGATAAACTAGGCAAAAATGGGCAGTGAGACAGACCACACAACCCAGGGCTCCAGTGTCGGAAAATAAAGCCTAAAAGCACCAATTGAAAAGGTGCTGAGAGAGACTCCTAGCCTCACAGGAGAATTCATTGGAGAGACCCACAGGGTCCTAGAACACACACAAGCCCACCCACATGGGAACCAGCATCAGAAGGGCCCAATTTGCTTGCAGGAAGCAGCAGAGGGGACTGAAATCCACAAGTGCCATTGTTCCCTCTCTGACCCCACCCCCACATACAGTGTCATAACCCAGCAACTTGGTTGCCCCACGCTGGTGAACACCTAAGGCTCCGCCACTCATACATAACAGGTAAAACCTGACCAAAACATTATGGCTCAAGCAGAAGAACAGCTCAAAGCCCCAGAGCCAATACTTTTAAGTGACCAAGAGATAGCCAACTTATCAGATGCACAGTTCAAAACACTGGTGATCAGGATGCTCACAGAACTGGTTGATTTTGGTCACAAATTAGAGGAACAAATGAAGACTACACTAAGTGAAATGAAGCAAAATGCACAGGAAACCAATAGTGATGGAAAGAAAACTGGGACTCAAATTAATGGAGTGGACCAGAAGGAAGAAAGAAACAACCAAACAGAAAAGAAGGAAGAAACAAGAATTCAAACAAATGAGGAGAGGCTTAGGAATCTCCAGGACATCTTGAAACATTCCAACATCCGAATTATAGGGGTACCAGAAAGGGAAGAGGAACACCAACAAGTAGAAAACTTATTTGAACAAATAATAAAGGAGAACTTCCCCAATATGGCAAAGGAAATAGATTTCCAGGAAGTCCAGGAAGCTCAAGGAGTCCCAAAGAAGTTGGACCCAAGGAGGAACACACCAAGGCACATCATAATTACATTAGCCAAGAATAAAATTAGGGAGAGAATCCTAGAAGCAGCAAGAGATAAGGGTATAGTCACCTACAAAGGAGTTCCCATCAGACTGTTGGCAGATTTCTCAAAAGAGATCTTACAGGTAAGAAGGGGCTGGAAAGAAGTATTCCAAGTCATGAAATGCAATGACCTACATCCAAGATTGTTCTATCCAGCAAAGCTTTCATTTAGAATGGAAGGGCAGATAAAGTGCTTCTCAAATAAGGTCAAGTTAAAGGAGTTCACCATCACCAAGCCCTTATTATACAAAATGTTAAAGGGACTTTCCTAACAAAAAGAAGATAAAAAATATGAACAGTGAAAGGACAGCAAACTCACAGTTATTAACAACCACACCTAAAACAAAAGCAAATTAAGCAGACACCTAAAACAGGAGTGGAGACACAGAAATGGAGATCACATGGAAAGTTAGCAACAGGGGAGTGGGAGGAGGAGAGGCAGGGAGAAGGTACAGAGAATAAGTAGCATAGACTGTGGGGAAAATATAGACAGGGGGAGGTCAATAGTAGTGTGGGAAATGTAGAAGCTAAAGAACTTACGACACATGGACATGAACTAAAGGGGGAAATGTGGGTGGGAGGGTGTGTGCAGGGTGGAGGGGAATGAAAGGGGGAAGGGGACAACTGTAATAGTATAATCAATATAATACACAATTATATATATATATGAATAACATTTAAAATATTTAACAACTGGTACAGTAAAGGCACTAACAAATTAGGACAGACACCAACCATAGATAGTAAGTGTCCCTATATGGCCTTTTCAGTGTGTTTGACTGGACTGCAGCTTATATTTGCACACACACGTGTGTATATGCTAATAGAATCAAAATTTTTTCTATTCTGTTTTTAATTTTATTTTTTTAATAACAATTTACATGCAGGGTCATAGAGCTAGAAGAAAGGCTTCCTAATTATTGAATTTATTAGAGTGACATTGGTAAATAAAACCACACAGATTTCAAGTGTACAACTCAATAAAACATCATCTGCACACTGCGTCGTGTACTCACCACCCACAGTCAAGTCTCTTTCCTTCCCCATTTACCCCTTCGTTGCTCACCTCCACCTCCCCCATCCCCCCTTCTTTCTGTCTATCACCATACTGGTGTCTGTGTCTATGTGTAATATATATATTTTTTTTGCTTAATCCCTTCACATTTTTCCCCCAAGCCCCTCAACCCTCCTCCCCTCTTACAATTGTCAGTCTATTCTATGTATCTATTCTTCTGTTTCTATTCTGTTTGTTAAGTTATTTTGTTGATTAGATTCCACATGTAAGTGAGATCATGTGGTATTTGTCTTTCTCTGACTAATTTCATTTAGCATGATACCCTCTAGATCCATCTAATGCTAACCCTAATGATAAGACTTCATTCTCTTTATGACTGAGTAATATTCCACTATATATATATTCCATAATCCAAATATTCCACTCTATATATAATTCCACTATATACATATATAGTGGAATATATAATGAAAAAGAATTGGTGTGTATATATATACACACACATATATATATGCACACCAATGTTATATATACCATATGGCACCAATGTATATACAACATATGGTACAATATATATACCATATATATACACCATTTTTCTCCATTTGTCTATTAATGGGCATTTGGCTTGCTTCCATATCTTAGCTACTGAAAATAAACGCACAGTGAAGATAGAAGTGCATATATCCTTTTGAATTAGTGTTTTAGGTTTCTGAATCATAAGACAGTTCCATTTTTAATTTTTTGAGGAACCTTCACACTGTTTTCCATTGTGGCTGCCTTAGTCTGTATTTCTATCAATGGTGCATGAAAGTTCCCTTTTCTCTACATCCTTGCCAACACTGGCTTGTTGTTTATTGATTTATTAAGGATAGTTATCCTAACAAGTATAAGGTGAAGTCTCTGTGTGGTTTTAACATGCATTTTTCTGCTGAGTAGTGACAGTGAGCATCTTTTTATATGTCTATTTGCCATCTCTATCTCCTCTTTGACAAAATATCTATTTAGGTCCTCTGTCCATTTTTCAATTGGATTGTTTGTCATTTTGGTGTCAAGTTGCATAAGTTCTTTATGAATTTATGATGTTAACCCCTCACTGCATGTATCATTGGTGAATATCTTCTCCCATTCAATAGGTTCTTTTTGTTTTGTTGATTGTTCCTTTTGCTGTGCAAAAAAATTCAGTTTGATGTAGTCCCATTGGTTTACTTTTTCTTTTGTGTCCCTTGCCCAAATAGATATATCAGGAAAAAAAAACATTGCTAAGTTAAATGTCAGAGAATTTAATGCCTATGTTTTCTTCTAGGAGTTTTATGGTTTTTAGTCTTACATTTAAATCTTTAATCCATTTTGAATTTTATTCGTGTATATGATATCTAGTTTCATTTTTTTTGCATGTACCTATCAAATTTTCCCAACACCATTTATTGAATAGACTACTTTTATCCCTTTGTACACTCTTGACGTCTTTGTCAAATATTGACCATATAGGTGTGGACTTATTTCTTGGCTTTTTATTCTGTTCCATTGATCTCTATGTCTGCTTCTATGCCAGCACCATGCTGTTTTGATTAATACGGCCTTGTAGTATACTTTGATACCAGGCAGTGTGTACCTTCAACTTTATTATTTATCCTCAAGATTGCTATGGCTGTTTGGGGTCTTTTGTGGTGCCATATAAATTTTAGGATTATTTGTTCTAGTTCCGTGAAATATGCCATTGGTATTTTGTTAGGAATTGCATTGAATCACAGACTACTTGGGCAAGTGTCTTCTTTTTATGCCTCAGTTTCCTTGTCTGTAAATGATGAATTGGACTAACTTATTAACAGTTTCTTCAAGTTGTGTAGCCACAGTGGCATCACAGTTGCCTTTCTTTCTTTTGTTCATAACTCTTTGTCCCAACCTGATAAGCCCCCTCAGTATAGCAGCCATTGTGACTCATCCCCAAACTTTCAACTGACACCAAACTGGTTCCTGACTTCTCAATATATGTATATGCAAACCTAGATAAAAATAAAAGCCAAATGTTTAGAAAATAAAACCAAAATTGATAACATTCTCCTTAATTGTAGCTTTGTGCTTTCTTAAGTTTTTCTATTTCTCTCTCATCAGCTGTAGTTCTCAATAGGATCACGGTAATTTTTCAAGGTTGGGGAATCAATCTCTCTCTTTCTCCCTCTACTTTTTCTTTTGATTCCTCCTCTGGTGGCCCCTCCCTGTCCTGCTCTGGCTCCTCCCCACTCTGTTCCTCTCTGTTTTCTATTTTGTGATGCTTCTGGTGGGCCTCACAGGATGGGACAGGGGTGGTGGCTATTTGCACTGCCCCACACCAGACTTGGTGCACAGTTTCTGAAGGGTGTTGCAGTCAAGACCCCTGGCTGGAAATGCTCTTAGAATATTTGCATTCCCAGCCCAGAGACCTTTCTTTCTAGATCTCTTTACCTGAGGCCCTGCTCAGAGGTCTTTTTTAGACCCTTCTACAAAGGCCTCCTGATGGGGGAGGGAGTGATGAGACTTACAGACATATACTTTCCCCCACTCTGACCCAGCACCCAGTACTTTTCCTTTCCTAGTCTTTCCTCTACACTCTCTCCCCCAACCCCTCACCTTAGGGCTCATAAAACTGCAGGAGCCTTTTGTTCTGGGCCCCTCAGCAATGAGATGAGCCCAACATCTGTGCTGATCCACCTGACCCTCCACCAGTATACCTTCCCATGGGGGCAAATGAAATAGGGGGAGTGTGCCTGCCTCAGTTCAGCCTCTTGCTTATCCCACTGTAGGAAGTGATTAAGGGAATACTGCTTTAATTGGCTGCTCCAACACCTGGCAGCTCCACTTTCTCCCAGCTCAGCTGAGCTCCTGACATCCCCCCTCAGTAAGCCTTCCTGCTGCTCTGTGGTCTCACCATCAATTAGGCAATAGCTTCTCAGTACTTAAGCAAATTAACCAACCTAAACATTGCCCCATCTCCACATTGCCCATTTCCATGGGACTAGGAATATCTTTGTAATAACCAGACAATGAATCTCTTTGACCAACTGATCTCAATATGTGAAATTTTCAGCATTAATCTGCAAAGGAGCAAAGGGAGGACTAAAATTTACTGAGTGTCTGTTGTTTATGCCACATCCTTTGCTTATATAATTTTGTTAAATCCTCATAACAGCCCTTGCAATTGTTGTCATCATTCCTATTTTATAGATGAGAAAACTGAGTAATGCCCCCAAACTCAAATACCCAGCAAGTGGTGGTGTTCTGGCACTAGCTAGGACCTGTCTGCAGTGTACTGCACAGTCTTCCCAGGGGTTACAGGCTGGCCTCCTGGGAACTAATGAGCAGGGGTGCACTGATTAGCTGTGAAATCCACCCAGGCCTGGCTCCTGTGTAGGTAGACACAACCCTCTCCCCCAAGCGGGGTTGTGTGTACCTTTGGGTCATCTTTCACCCCCAGGAAAAGGTCATCCTTCAGCCCTTTCTGGCAGTGCTCACACGTGCAGTCAAAGTAGTACTGCTTCTTCAGTTGCTTCTTGCGTTCTTCACTGACATTAAGGAAGTCAATATAGGATACCGTCAGCTCTTCTCCTTCTGAGATCTTGCCCAGGGCCCGGAGCTCAATTCTAGAGCAGGGCAAAGGAAAAGAGTAAATCAAATTCAGGACTATCCAAGTGGCTTTTGTGCTCTTCAAGTTTCATGGAGTTGAGTCTCAAAGACAATAACTTCCCTAGTGCTTGAGAAAACTCCCATTCCCATTCAGGATGAAAGAAGGTGAAGGGATTAACCAAAACACATATGTTCATAACACATAGCCATAGACAACAGGGTGGTAACAGCCAGAGGGTAAATGTGGGGAGAGGAAGATGGAGGTAGAGAAGGGCAGGGAGAATGGGGCTGGAAAGACTTTGCTTGGAGCAATGGGCATATGATGCAGTGTGCCGATGATGTTTTATTGAGTTGTCACTTGAAAACTCTACGGTTTTTGTGAACCAATTTCACTCCAATAAATTTAATACAAAATATTTTTTAAAAAAGAAAGAAAGAGCCCTGGTTGGTGTAGCTCAGTGAACAGAATGCTGGCCTGTGAACCAAAAACTCACCAGTTCGATTCCCAGTCAGGGCACATGCCTGGGTTGTGGGCCAGGCCCCCAGTAGGGGGTGCACAAAAGGCAACCACACATTGATGTTTCTCTCCTTCTTTTTCTCCCTCCCTTCCCCTCTGTCTAAAAATAAATATATAAATAAATCTTTTTGAAAGAAAGAAAGCTCACATTTCTTCCAAAAAGAGGAGATGTGGCCTAATGGACAGTTTTCTAAATAAGTCTGCTCTACTCATTAGGACAATCAAATCTGCTCCATTCTGTAAATTGCTCTAAAATCTGCTCAAATAGATTCCCAGTAGACTACTGGTCTTGGTCTTAAAACCATACATAGTTTCCATGCCCACAATTATCCATGTGCAATTATCCAATCAGCTACTGATTGTTAACAAAGGGGAGAGAAATAATAACAAAATGAAAACTCAAACAAAAGAAGACTCAATAGTCATTTCTGCTTAGTTTGGGAACCACTCCCTCAGAAACACACATTTTCAGTTGCCCACAATCTTGACCTACTCTGTGTCTAGCTATAAGACCCTTCTTATCTCAACCAGTGGTTCAGGCCCACATTATGTGAGGAGACTGATTCAGGAGGTCCTTGACAGCAAACAGAGCCCGGCCCTGTTAGTCTGCTGCATTGTTCACTTTTGTGTTTATTAGGGACAGGGCTTTTTAGCTGAAGGTGGTTAGCAAGAGCAGATGGCATTTCAATCCCTTTCCAGCCTAGACCTGACCCTCCAATGACCTAGAGCACAACCCACTTTGCCATGTAATAGATGCAAAATGTGCTGAAGACAAAAGCTCACTGCAGAACTGACATCCAGGTAAGCCAGACAAGCAGAGATCAGCCTATGGGCCTCTCAGCCACTCACATGGCCAGAAACTGCAGAAAACAAGTGGTGAGCTTAAGCTGTGCTCCTATATCTTCCCAGTACTCTAGAGCCTCACTACCCAGTGGGGAAACCATTGCCCAGAGAGTAAGTAGCAGGATGCAGAGGTTGGGCAGAGCTTCTGCAGAGAGGTCTGTGGTCATTTCATTTATCTCCCAGAGAGGCTTTCAGACACTGTGTGAAAGGTAGGACAAGATTTCAGCACCACAGAAGCATCCTAGTTCAAGGCATCCTCTTCCATATGCTCTGAAGTGACAAATGAGTAAGCAACTACTGAACAGCAGTGACATGCATGTCTGGGCACTTAAGTGCCCACTTAAGGTGACCACTTAAGGTTAAAAATTGTTCTCCCAAAGTGGAGTCCACTGACATGCCAAATAAATATGATAATATATACATATAAACAACCCATACGGCACCTAGTAAAATCTAAGTTCCCGCTCATCTATGGCTCCTTCTTTCCTTTCTCCCCCACCCCAATGTTTGGCAGCAGCTCTTACTGAAGTGATGAAAGGCAAGAGGGAGAGGGGTGCCCGGTGATTCTACCCACAGCTCTGCTTGGAATCCTAGTGTTTTCGAGCTGCAGGGAATCAACCCTCTCATTTCACAAATGAGGATACTAATGCCCAGAGAAGTGACTTAACTTCCCCAAAGGTCCCATGGCACTTTGGCAACAGAGTCAAGATTAGAACTCAAGTGCCATGCATGCCTCACCACATCATATTGGCCTCGCCTGGTTGTTTTCGGTCTGCCTCATGAGTCTGCAATGCATGGGAAGTGAGATCCACAAAAGCCCTTGGTTTTAGGACTCTACTAATGTCCTAAACAGTTTCATGTGAGCAATATCTGAGTCAGTGTTGAGTGTGGCTTCCAGGCGTTTGGTCGTGGTAGAGTCAATAAGCATGCTAAACCCACCAGCCCCTTTTACAGAGGCAGTCTCCCATAGTAACATATATCCATTCAATAGTGATTCAATGGCCAATAAGTTAGAATTTCCAGTAGCTTTACATCCCATCATGGTTAAGCCAGTTTGTACAATGTCTCCAAGTATCTCAATTTATTTCAATAATATTAGAGAACTTTCCAAACTAAATTAATTTAATGTCACTTACATATGAGAAATGTATATATTTACACCCCATTTAACCAACTTGGAATTGGGGATCAGGGAATGAATCCCCTTTCATCTCTAATGCTCCGCAATTGTATAGTTTAGCCAACTGAGCAACAAGTAACAATCAATTTAAGTATTTTTATAGAGACTGGGAAGGTCCCTTGAGACACTCTCATCTTGACCTTTTCTCTAGAGATGTGGACCAAAATGCCCAGGAGATGATGTGAATCATTCAAAGTCTCATGCAGTGCATGCCAACACAGGCTAAGGTGCACTCCTAAAGCCTAAACTCCCATGCAGCACTTGTTCTAAATCCAAAGAGTATTTCCAGTATTTCAAGCCCAGCTTGAGAAAAAAGACCCATCTGGGGCCATTTTGTTGTGATTAAGAAAAGTCAAAAGTAAAATCTAACCCAAACCACTAACTCATAGTTAGCCAGAAGCAGTAAACAGAATACTATGAATAAATATTTATCAAGACATCACAGTTATGGGTGCAATTTTCGGAAACCAGTCTGGGTGAGAAGTTGGGGGTTATAAGCAAACATACAGCCCTTTAGTAGGTCAGTTATATCAGCAATCCTCACTTCCTGGTAAGCAGGGTTTAGAGGGACAATATGGATTTTTGCCAAGATGATGTGGGCCAGAAAGGACTACCCCACCTTGATGTTGGAGAAACAAGAGAAGTAAGAAGTGAAAGAGGAGGAAGAGAGAAAGCAAAGTACCAAAAAGCCATGTCAGGTGGTAGGTGAGTGAAGAAGAAAACGATTAATTTAAATGCTTAAGAATACAGCATTCAAAGAGACGAGACTCTGGGGTGCAGAAGAACATTACAGACAGACAGCAGCCACGGAATCTTAGGAAAGGGTGGCCCCAGCAAACCAGGCAAGTGAGGGAGGTGGGTCAGAGGAGCAGGGACGTTTGCAAGAACTGACCCACCTCATCTGGGTGTGAAACATGGATTTCACTGCCTCATGACTGAAAGACAAAACAGACACCCAAATAGAAATCATTAGCATTGACTGATCCTGCACAGCTAGCAAGGGTGCACAGTGTTTCAGGTTATGCAATCAAAGCTTTGGCCATAACAACAACCTCTATCCCAGCCCCTATAGCTGGGCTCACTTGACAAGAGGTAGCCTGGTATAGTGGAAAGTTCACTGCATTTAGGATGAGAGGTTCTGGGTTCAAAAGTATGCAGCCCTGGACGATTGACTTCCTTTCCCCTGGCCTCCATGCTCTCATCGAAAACCTGGCAATAAGATTCATGAGACAATGCATTTTAAAGTAGAATGCTACCCTGGCTGGTGTGGCTCAGTGAATTGAGTGCCTGCCGGCCTGTGAATGGAAAGGTCACAGGTTCGATTCCCAGTCAGGGCACATGCCGGGGTTATGAGCCAGGTCTCCAGTAGGGGGCACATGAGAGGCAACCACACATTGATGGTTCTCTCCTCTTTCTCCCTTCCTTCCCTTCTCTCTAAAAATAAATAAATAAAAATATTTTTAAAAAATGAAATAAAAGATGGAAAGCTATTATTATCCCACTAACAAGTATCTTAGACAAATAGGTGTTGCCTCTTTTGATGTCTACCTCATGGAGAGTTTGAACTGTGTATGATGACTGGTTAGGTCACACAGGTAGTAGATAAAAATTTGGGGGGCTAGAATTGGGCCCCTAACATCGTGACCAGTGTCCTTTCCACTATGGCAGGCAGCTAGACAGGGACTGAACAGTCACTTTCTCTTGCACAGCAACCAAGAAGCCCAGGTAAAATGTGGCTGCTCAAAATTAGTGGGTGCATAGAAACCAGAGCAGATCTTGGAAACGATCTGAAAAATGGGCTCCCAGGTTCCTGTGGCTATCACAGGTAGTAATGAGAGCCCTGGGTCACCATTTCTTAGCGGAGGGGTATCCAGAAAGTCCAGCCCTGTGTATGGCTGAATTTGATCCTCTCTGCCAACCAAGCTAACCCTGGACAACAGAAGGCTTAGGAAGGGAAACACAAATGTTGTGAAAGATCATTTGGATACAAAATGAACTTCCCTGTCTTGAGTGACTTTCTCAGTTGCTTAAGAGCCTGATGTCATGTGGGCCCTTACTTCCAGAAATAGGAAAGAAAAGGGAAATCGGAGTCCCTACTATATTAGGGATTAGACCTGATTCTTGGCTCAGAACCAGAAACTATTGTCTTTGGTTTCCAGGAAATTTGGGGGAAAACCTGCTCAAATCTGATGGCTCAGAGTCAGCTTGCATCTGTCACAAGAGCTTGTCTCTAAGAGCAAAAGCAATATTGCTCAGGGCTCATTCCCCCAAACCCGCCCCCAAGCCTGAGCCATGGGCAACCGGTTGTTCATCTTATCTTGTGTGCTGACTTTTCTCCTTTTGTGCTCCACCCCCAAACTCCATTCTTTACCCTTCTGTCCCTTCTGGGCCTTCTTTGGGGTGGAGTGGTGGGGGCGGGGGGTTGTTGATAGTCATCAACAACCTCTGAGGATCTCATCACTGTGTTTGCTTTGCACGTTCACTTCAGCTTGGGGTTGGCCAATAGAAAAACAGAGAGTTGGGGTGTTTAGTCTCCTGGCTCCCTCCCTGCTGTCCATGGTTCCAGCAGCAGCTGGTTTCTCTACAGGCAAAGCCAAGCTGGTGGGGGAGGGGGAGAAAGGGCCTGTCCCATGGTTGGGGCTCTCACCAACCACAACAGTATGTCTTTCACTTCCAGGTCTAGAGATGATAATGGTTTCATGCTGCTGCTAAACCCTGGACACCTCACCATTCTTTGTTAGTTGCTTAAATGCTACCCACACTTCTATAAATTGTCCTTTTATTAAATTCCCTTCAGGTAGACTCTGAGCATGCCTTCTGATATCTGCTGAGACCTTGACTAATATATGCTTCTGTCAAGTGCCTTCTCTGTTGGTGATGTTTTGTAATGACCTCTAGATAGGTGATTCAAGGCATCAAGGCACCACTTTGAAATAGTGGTTAGAGGTTTATCCGGCATATCTAGGCAAGCTCAAGAAACACAAAAAGACTCAGAAATTACCCATGTACAACTCTTTGCTATCCTCCTCATTACCTTTCTCCTAGCCACAATTATTCTAAATGAAATTTCTATTTTCTTCTCATTTGAAATCCATGCTAGTTCAGGTTCAACAGTTTACCTTTGGCTTAAGTCAAGCAGAGAAAACATCATAAGACTTCCCCATTCTCATCACACCACCCCAGTGAAAGACATACTCACTTGCCATTGTTAAATATGACGGTGCAGTTGGGCCAACAGTCGTGGTTCACCAGACCCAGGTTGGGGAAGATGCCCACGCCCACTGCCTGTAGGCCTCTCTGATCACTGAGCGTGAAGCCATTGCAGTTAATCTACCCAGAGGAAAAGAGAAACGAGTCAGCTAACAGACACAGACGAGGGACAGAACACCATCCTAGCTACTAAAAGGTTTTTTTTAAATAATAAAATATTCAAAACCCAGTCTAATCCTGGAAATGCTTAGAGAATGTGGAAATAAAACAGTCTCCCATTCTCTTTGTGATTCCAAATGACCTTCCAGATTATACAACACCACCTTGAAAGTCTGGGCTAGCTATTTTGTAAAAAGGCCAAAGATGGAAAGTTGGTTCTGAAAGTCTCTCCTTTTCCTGTATCAGGGTGTCACTCGAGCCTTCCCCAGCCTCGGTTTGGCTTCTCTCCGTGCACTACGCTGCGTTACTGGGTGTGCCTGTGCACACACACGTGTGTGTATGTGTCTCCCCTGCCTCCTGCTTTCTTGATCTACCCAGCCTCAACTCCTACAGCTGCTCACAAGATAAAGTTGATATCTTTTTCTTATTATTTGTGTCTGCTGGATATTTATACTCCCAGTTCACAATTTTAAACTCTGATGAGCTTATGAAACATTTATGTTGAATCCAAGGCAAATCAAGATGGTTATTTATGGCACTCCCTTTATTTCCTTTTTCTTAAAAACAAGAGGTTCTTTATAGAAACAGCTTCCAAATATCTGCTGTCAGGGTATGAAAATGCATAAGAATAAATATAACTTAAAATACATTATCAACTGCACAGAAATGTCTGCTTTATCTATAAATAATATAAATATATACTATACTAATTAAAATATGCATTGATATATGTATATTCATATGTGTAGCATGTGGCTATTTGTTATTCATATTGGAGGACTGTCACTTCCTCCATTCAGTCCCCTGGGCCATTCAGCAAGGAGGTGAAGCTAGGCCTGTCAACACCACTAACAAGCCATGTTACCTTAGTTAAATTTCTTTCTTCTCTGAGCCCGCGTTTCCCTATCTGTAGGTTGGGCTAGATGATTTCTATGATTCTTTCAGCTCTACACTTTGGTGATTATGCTATTCTGTGGCTATAGCCACCATGCTACCGAGGGATACCCAGAATGGTCTATGACACTCATTCACTCCAGGCCTCTGGAGCCTAAGAGCTAAGATTAGCAACTCTGCCACCAGGCAGACTGCTGCCAGCCCTTCCATGGACACCAGCTCACTGTGGAAGTTCTCTAACCCCTCTGGGCCTCGGCTTCCTGTTTATAAAGTAGGAATGTTAAAAGCATAAACTGTACCTTGTATTGTAAAGATTGCATAAAATAATATGTGGTGAGATGTGATAGTCAATTTTATGCATGGTGCCCACATATTTGGTCAAACGTTTTTCTCTATGCTTCTGTGAAAGTGTTTTTGGATAGATTAGCGTTTAAATCAGTAGATTTTAAGTAAAGAAAGTATCCTGCACAGTGTTAGGTGACCTCATGCAATCAGTCAACAAACTTAATAGAACACAGACTGGCTTTCCCTGATCATGAAGGAATTCTGCGGGCAGTTGGTCTTTGGACTCAAACTGCAACTCTTTTTTGGAGGGGGGTGTCCTGCCTACCAGCTTATCAGCAGATTTTGAATTTAATAAACCTCCACAATCTCAAGAGCTAATTCATTAAAATAAATCTTCTCCTCCGAATAGATAGATGATAGACAGGTAGGTGATAGATAGACAGACAGATAGTTCTGTTTCTCTGGAAAACTCTATTACAGAAGCACCAGCACATGGTAAGCACATGATAAGAGATGTTGGTTGTGATTCTGCTGTTGTTGTTATTACAGTAACCCCCCCGTTCAGTTCACCAACACCAGAGAAGGGGCTGGGCCGGCCAGATGGAAGACATCTACCCCCACCACCCACGGCCTGCTGATCCTCAGGACTCCCATCCCTACCTCCTGGACTCTCAGGACTACAAGGGGCCTGGCTCTGTTGCTACATGACAGCGCACTCCAAAAGGCCCTTATTTTCCTGTCTCTGGCTTCCATACCCACCACTCCGGGCTCCCCATTATTCTGCCCATAGATCTGTGAAAAGGAAGGACATTTCTTTTTCAAGGTAACTAATAGGCAGGAAGGGATGGTATTAGGTCTTTGTCTTCAGTGTGGACAGCAGGAAATACAGGAAGTGCAGATCAACAAGAAGGTAAAATATCATCCAAATCTACCACTCGGAGATGATGAGATGTTCCCTGGCTGGTCCGGCTCAGTCACAGGTTGAGTGCCAACCTGTGCCGACCATGTCAAATTGAGTGACGACCTGCACATGGAAAGGTCACAGGTTCAATTCCCAGTCAGGGCACATGCCTGGGTTGCGGGCCAGGTCTCCACTTGGGGTGCATGAGAGGCAACCGATCAATGTATCTCTTGCACAGTAATGTTTCTCTCCCTTTCTTTCTCCTTCCCTTCCCTTCTCTCTAAAAATAAATAAATAATTTTTTAAAAAAGAGATAATGGAATGTTTGTGTTGGGTTGCCAATTCAGATAGGTCAGAAATAACCTCATAGTAAGCAAGAGAAGAAAGACAGAGGACTAGATGACGATTGTTCATTTTAGGGCTGTAACTACAGCTCTTGGCCCCTCCTCCCTATTCCGGCCTGGCAGCATCTGAATACTTCTTCGTTGGACAACCCCAGCTGTCACCCACCCCCACTTAATGAGGAATCGTACCACGCCAAAGATGTGTGAGATATACTGCACGCTGAACTGCTGGCTCTGGGGCAGCCAGTACTGCAAGAAGGTGTCCATGTCCACTCTCAGCTGCTTCTGCTCCTCTTCCCCGAAGTTCTCCACATGGTTCTGCAGGTCGTCCACAGAGACCAGGCAGCCCTCTGTGAGCCCAGTGCCCTCTCTCTCCACCCGCCACATGATGCGTGCAGCCAGCCTGTGGAGAGGGGCAAGGTTATGGAGACCCCAATGCATTCATTCGTTTAACAAACACTGACCGACTGCCTGTGCATGCCGCAGTATGGGGCCCAATACACAGCTCTGAACTAGACAGAATTTCTTCTATCACGAAGTTCGTTATAGTGGGGGAGACAAAAACTTATTAAAGATTATTTAAACTAGGCTTAAATGCTACACAGAAAATAGAATAGGGTGACATGATAGAAAGTGGGAAGAGATGGAGGAGGAGACAAAGGGATCAAGGGAGGTGGCATAGGGGAGTCACACTCAAGCTGAAAGTGGAATGAACAGGAGCCAGTTCTGTACCAATGGGGAAAGAGTAGCAAGTATATGAAGGAGAAATAGCAAGAAGACCGAGGAAGCTGGAACACGAGTGAGAAGTGAAAAGTAGATAAAGGTGAAGAGGTGGACAGAAGCCAAGACACATAGGGTCTAGGAGACCACGAAAAAGTTCTGGGGATACTGTGAGGTATGGTAGCCTGGGTCTCTCCTGGAAGTATGACTAAGATGAGCACTGGAAGAGTCTAATGGCCTGAATTCAAGTTTGTTTCCACTCCTTACTGTGTGACCTCCCTGAACCTATCTAATGACCAATAAAACAAGGATAATAACTATTCCATGCCATGCTAACCTCCAGAGGTATTTGGAAGGAAAAGGGAGGTAATGGAAGTCCACATCATGTGTGAACTTACTTATATTCTTAATGATTAGATAAAGAGAAAGTGAAAAAGGCATCTAGGTGAGGAAGCAGTATAAACAAAGGCCTGGATGCAGCCCCGAACATGGCATAAACTGGAAGCAGGGAAGGATCAGGCCCAGCTGTAGCTGAGGGCTCAGGAGAGCACAGGGCTGAGTGTGAGACAGAGGGGTACGTTTAATCCCGAGGGCAGAGAGGGCCCCTCTGTTGACTATTAAACAGCCCATACCCACAAAATAAAGCCTGTAACCAAGGGACACTTTGGCAACTCTCTGCCATTCACAGATTGCAGGCTGGCAGGTCACCAGGGAGGGCTGGTGGACTAGGGCAGACCCTGACTCTGAAGAGAAATCCCCTTGACAAAACATGGCCCTTTTCTTCTCTCATCTAGGTCACAGGGTTATTTCTATAGAGTTGCCCTGCTGGGCACCCCAGGTGCCTGAGAGCCAAGATGTCCCCACATGTAGGCCAAGACAGAACTGGGGAAAATAAGACTCGGTTTGGGGTGTCTGCTACCTCCAAATATTTGAAAAAATATCACAAAGCTCAGAGTAGAGACTAATGGATGACAGATTTCAACCCAGTATCAGAAGAAATTACCAACTGGGACCATGCAGCTGGAGGAAGTGACCTCCTCGTCAGAGGAGATAACATTTGCTTCTGGCCTTAAAGACTAAGTAAGATATTAAAGAGATACCTGCACCCCCATGTTCACTGCAGCATTACTCACAGTAGCCAGACATGGAAATAACCTAATGGCCGTCAGCAGATGAATGGAAAAACATGTGACATTTTACATATTCAATCATGAAAAAGAAGGAAATCCTGCCAGTTGGGACGACATGGATGGAACTTGAGGGCATTATGCTGAATGAAACTAGCCAGACAGAAAGACAAATAGTGCGTAGTATCACTTAGATGCGGAATTTTTTTAAGTCAAACTTACAGAAGCAAAGAATGGAAAAGTGTTTGTCAGGGATGGGTTCTGAGGGACAATAGAGAAAAATTATTAAAAGGGTACAAACTTTCAGTTATAAGATGAATAAGCTCTGAGAATCTAATGGAAAACATGATGACTATATTGATAACATGATATTTTATCATTGAAATTTGCTAAAAGAGAAATTAAATGTTCTCATACACACACAAATAAATATGTGAAGTGATAGATGTGTTAGTTAACTAGTTGGGGGAATCCTTTCACAATATACATGTATATCAAATCACCACAGTGCATGCTTTAAATATCTTACAATTTACTTCTGGACAAGATGGATGCATAGGTAGATATGCTTTGCTTCCTCACACAACCAAAAAAAGAACAACAAATTCAAAAACAGAAAACAACCGGAAATGCTAGAAAATCTGTATGGAAGTCCAACAAACAAGGAGTTAAAGAAGAAACAGTCATCCAGACCAGTAGGAGGGGCAGAGATGGGCAGCCCGTGCAAAGAGGACACACTGCAAGGTGGCAGCTGGAGGACCAGGAGGTCCCACGTTTGTTTGTGGTTAAACCAGGAGGAACAACTGGGGAGTGAGACAGACTGAACAACCCAGGAATCCAGCGCAGGGAAATAAAGCCTCGAAACCTCTGGCTGTAAAAAATCTGTAGGAGTTGTGGTGGCAGGAGAAACTCCCAGCCTCACAGAAGAGTTTGTTGGTGAGATGCACAGTGTCCTAGAATGCACACAAGCCCAGCCACCCAGGAACCAGCACCAGAAGGACCCAATTTGCTTGTGGGTAGCCAGAGAAGTGACTGAAAGCTGTTGAAGAGCTGAGCAAGCAGCATTGTTCCCTTTCTGACCCCTTCCCCCACATACAGTGCCACAACACTGCAGTGAAGTGGTTTGCCCCGCCCTGGTGAATACTTAAGGCTCTACCCCTTACAACATAACAGGTGCTCCCAGAAAAAAAAAAAATATGGCTCGATAGGAAGAACAGATCAAAGCTCCAAAAATAGAACTAAGCAATGAAGAGCTAGCCAGCCTATCAGACACAGATTTCAAAACAGTGGTAATTGGGATGCTCACAGAAATGGTTGAGTATGGTCACAAACCAGAGGAAAAAGTGAGGGCTATATAAAATGAAATAAAGAAAAATAGGGAACCAATAGTGCAGGGAAGGAAACTGGGACTCAGATCAATGATTTGGAGCAGAAGGAAGAAATAAACATTCGACCAGAACAGAATGAAAAAACAGGAATTAAAAAAATGAGAAGCTTAGGAACTTCTGGAACAACTTTAAATATTCCAATATCTGAATCATTGGGGTTCCAGAAAGAGAAGAGGAAGAGCAAAAAATTGAAAACTTACTGGAAAAAATAATGAAGGAAAGCCTCCTCAATCTGGCAAAGGAAATAGACTTTCAAAAGCCCAGAAAGCTCAGAGAGTCCCAGAGAAGTTGTGACCCAAGGCACATCATAGTTAAAGATAAAGAGGTAAAGATAAGGAGAGAATATTAAAAGCAGCAAAAGAAAAGGAGACAGTTACCTACAAAGGGGTTCCCACAGGACTGTCAGCTGATTTCTCAAAATAAAACTTGCAAACAAGAGGGGGCTGGAAAGAAGCATTCAAAGTCATGAAAGGCAAGGACCTCCATCCAAGATTACTCTATTCAGCAAAGCTATCATTTATAACAAATGGGCAAATGAAGTGTTTCTCAGATAAGGTCAAGTTAAAGGAGTTCATCATCACCAAATCCTTATTATATAAAAATGTGAAAAGGACTTATCTAAGGAAAAGAAGAAGATCAAAACTATGAACAGTAAAATGACAACAAACTCACAATTATCAACAACCAAACCTAAAAAAACAAACAAAAATAAGAACAAACTAAGCAAACAACTAGAACAGGAACAGAATCATAGAAATGGAGGTCATGTGGAGGGTTATCAGTGGGGAGGGGGAAGGGGAAGGAGGTGCATGGCATAAGAAGCATAAATGGTAGGACAAAATAGACAGGGGGAGGTTAAGAATAGTACAGAAAATGGAGAAGCCAAAGGACTTATATGTACAACCCATGGACATGAACTAAGCGGGTAGGGAATGCTGGTCAGAGGGAGGGTGCAGGCTGGTGGAGGATAAAGGGGAGAAAAAACTGGGACAACTATAATAATATAATCAACAAAATATACTTTAAAATATTTTACAATTTTATATCAATTATAACTCAGTAAAGCTGAAACAAATAAATACATGCATGCACACATGCATACAACCGTACATGAAATTATAAAAAAGAAAAGAAAGAAAAAGGAGTAGGATTTCAACAGATGGAACTGAGGGTGTCAGAGAGGCTAACAGAGCCATTTCATTTTGCAGTTTCCTAAAAATGACCAGCACACGATGATTCCAGCCTATACTTTAACTTCACATCCTACACACCTGGTGAAAATCCCAACTTTACCTTCATCATCTCCTCCGCCCTCCACCATCAGCTTCATAAGCACCCACCTTCAGCCTAGCATCAGGCCCTGACGTAATCGAGCTTCGGGGGTTGAGAGCTCTTGCACTGGGGCTCTCCAGATGTTCGTTAGCCCTGACATTTCTGGTGATGGTTGCCAGGCGAGGCCACTATTACAAATACAAGTGCCTTTCAGGTGGAGTGGGTACAGAGGGCTGTGTGTACAACTGCCATAACTACTGGGCCTGTGGTTACTTGAGAAGCTCAATATTTTGTGAAGGGGGCAGATGCCATTAAGCTCTAACTCATTTTGCCAAATCTACAGATTTTGTTTTTTCAAGAGAGGCCAGAAAACCTCTTTTTCTTAATGTAAAAATTTTCAATTTTTGAACATTGGCAGGTCAGTTTTTTTTTTTTTAAATTAAATACCAGGGAGCCATACAGAATGAGTCTGCAGCCAGCTCCAGCCAGTGTCTACAGTTTGGAGCTGCTAACCCGTTCTTCCTCTTAAATGATCTCCCAGACCTAGAGGGAGTTCACAGAAGTGACCACATGTAGTCTCTTCGAGGCTCTGTCCTGACTTGCACTTAGCCCAGCTTCCTTGAGCCTGGGAACGCTGTCACTACCACCATGCCCATCTGACATTTGGGAATCCCAAACATCACCCCAGGGCCCAGCTCTGACCTGATGTTTTCATTGGGTACCTTCCCATGTCTCTTGATGGCCAAACACTCGTTTTTGTGGTTCAGCCAAGCGTCCTTCTGGCAGGTGCGGTCACAGTAACGGGCAAACTTGCACTGCCCACAGTGATGGAGCTTCTCCTGCCTCTTGAAGCAGGTGTGGCACACAAAGTTAATGAGGCTGGAAATAGAGAAAAAATAACATGATTGAGTTCAGAGGGGCACTGTGGAAAGAAACCACACTGGTCTTTGAAAGACTGGAGATTTGGTACTGGCTGAGTGGTCAATCCTTATCTTTCTAAGCTTCAAATTCCTACTTTTCAAAATGAGAGGTTTGGGCTTCCAAAGGTCCTTTTTAGCTGTAACTATATTTCAGCAGATATTTTTAAGTGAACCAAATGGGAACACTATTGAGCTCTGCATATAAGCCTTTCAATTTAATTCAGCAAGTATAGGTTTATGACCTATAGGCACTGGGATTACCACAAGTTCCCAAAGGAAGAGTTGAACTTGCAATCACCATGCAGCGTGAGGAGCACTATAATAAAGAAGGCACAAGGTGTTCCTGGAACACATTGGAGAAGATACTTGAGCAACTCCAGTAAGTCTTCTGGGCCAAGGGAGTGTGAGTGGAAATTCCTCATGGTCCCATTGCCAAAAGTCACAGGTTATTGGCACCATGGCATGGTGGTGATGTGGGCGGGGGGGTGGATTCTGTGTGATGTATTATTATCATTGTTGAAATGTACTGTCCCTTCTCCCAAAGAATAAAATATCATAACTATCCACAATATGATGCAACATGAAACAATGTATTTTACAGAAAATGAGGTCTACACATCATGACATGTCTTCGTTCTGTGTTTTGCAACATTAAGAATTACAAGGTTAGCCATGTCCAGGTGGCTCGGTTGGTTGGAGCATCGTCCCATACACCAAAATGTTGTGGATTCAATCCCTGGTCAGGGCACATACCTATGTCATGTATGGGTTTGATCCCTGGTAGGTGTGTATGCAAGAGGAAACCAATCAATGTTTCTTTCTCACATCAGTGTTTCTCTCTCTCTCTTCCTATTGCTCTAAAATTAATAAACACATATCCTCAGGTAGGGATTTTTAAAAAAACAGAACAATTACAAGGTTACTGATGTTACTGATGTATCTCCTGGCTCAGAGTTAGTGGAAGTGATGAAGAACAATGTATGCCCATTCCATGAGTGAGAGAGAGAGAGACACAGGAGGATTAAGCCCCTTACCCCCTGCTTCTGGCTTCCCAGTGTTCCTGTTAGAGTTCCACGCCTCCCCGTGTTAAAACCATGATTCAGAAAGAGAAGGTCATGGGCTGGCATGAAGGAACCTTATCTCAAGACATAACCTAATGCCAGAATGAGTGAAATCTTGTGTGAGGCACAATATCTCTAGGCCCCAACTGCATACTCCCATAATGTGAGGAAGAGAAATCCTGGCCACTGAGGCAGAGAAATGATGAAAAGCAGTTTGGCAACATGCAGGAAAGTGGTGAGCTCCCTGGGAAGAAGTGAGTATATACACTCATGTTGTACTGTTAAGACTTAACAGTCTAAACAGGAATCTCAGAAGTTTAAGAAAACAAGGACTTTAAAAATATGGGATTCTAGAGCCTGAAGGAAGAATCTTTAACAGAATATGAAAGTACAGAAATCCCTTGCATCCATCCCTGACCATGCATGTCCTAATTCCCATAGTGAAAAAGAGTTTGCTGCTTCCAAGAACAATCAGTCCATTGTTGGCCAGTCCCAGTTACTGCCACCTTTCTCCTCATGTTAAGCCTGAGTTTGCCTTCCAGAAAAACATACTCCTATAATGTAATTTGGCCCTCTGGATCCTTGTCTAATGGAACAGGCCTGGTCATGTCAGTCCTTCAAGAACTTGACGACTACTGCCATGCCTCCCCTTCATTTCCCCTCTCCAAGTTAAACACTCTCAGCTCCTCCAACAGTTCCTTACACGAGTTTATGAATTTCTGAATTTCTGAAAATCTCACACAGTTCTGGTGTTCTCCAATGTGCCTACAGCATGTTCCTGTAGCCAAAGGAAAATGAGCATAACAGGGCAATCAAGCAAGATCCAGCAGCCAATGCTAAGGTATCAGGTTCAAGGATGAGCCCAAAGGCTAGGCCCACTCTTTCCAACACAGCATCAAGAGATGGAAAGACAGCAATAGAGCCAAGCTACGGGCACTGCATGGACTACTGCTCTAACTAAGTTAGATTCAGGGCTTCCTGGAATCCAGAGAGTTTTCAGCCTCTGGGTGGTCAACTCAACACACTGCCATTTCCCTATCTGCTGTGATGTGCATCGCTGGTAATTGGTTAATGATCATAGAGTATTCAAGGGCATGCAAGGTTAGTACTTTTTTACAAGTTAGAGCAGACTGAGGTTATTTCCATGATAATGTCTTCCTCACTACCTTGCATTCCTCAAGCTTTCCTAATGAGAGAGGAAGGGTAGAATTACACTTGCATACCTAGTGAGTTGCGTAGAATCCACAGCCCATCATTGCTATGCCACACAGAGGGTACCCTGCTAGAGGAGGATAAGAAGAGAGTACAGGGGACTTACATGGAACCCTGACCATTTTGTGGAATCTCCAAACCCCTGGAGGAGGGGAGCTATGGATTTCTCACATCTATCTCAAGTCAGGATTACTTTTTCTGGAAGGAACATGAAGTTCATTATCAGGGATGGAGGTGCTGAAGGACCCAGGTAATTTGGATCTGAAGGAGGCTCCAAATCTTACCTCCTGGTCACTCAAGGGTGAGACACGTTAAATTATGGTGCCCAGAACAGAGTGTAGTATCTAGGTTTGGTGCTGTTCACACTTTCTGAATCTGGACATTGTGATTCCATTAGCTTCTTTAACAAAAAATTCACATTTATTTAAGGTCAAATTACAAATAGTCACTGGAACCTCCCAAGTTTTCTCAAAGGTGCTGCACCCAAGTCAGAACTCCCCTCTGTTGGTCTATTTGTCATTATCTTTTAAATCCGCTTTATTGAAATATAATTGACATACATAAACTGTACATATTTAAAATGTGCAATTTAACATACACATATACCCGTGAAACCATCTCCACAGGCAGGTTAACATAGCCATCATGCCCCAATATTTTCTCGTGACACTGAATTTTTTAACCTGAAGTGGGGTCTTCACCTTCACCCCTATCTGCCTGCTTTCGGTATAGCATTCCAAACTGTCCGGGTCATTTTGGATTTTTATTCTGTCACCATTATATCTCTATGCTAAGCTCTGAGTTATCTGAAAGCAGAGAGCATGTCTTAGGCAGGGAAGAGAAATGAGGATCAGGTGCCCACCTCTAGGGTATCAGCACCCACACCAGGAACACGAACAAAGGCAGGAAAGGAAGGAAGGACACCCGGGAAATGGGCTGGGGAGGAAGAGTCAGAAGCAAGGGCAGTCACGCTGGCTGTCACTTACAGCTTGTCACTCGGAACTCCATGCCTAACTGCACAGGGGTGCCCATCGGAGGACAACCTCACACTGAGGCCACCCATCAAGATATACTTAGAATATTATAATATATTCTATTTTTATTCATATACATATATATGGTCATATTCACATACATAGCTGATGTGTAAACATATTGCACTTCACAGGTCTTACACTATTGCACTGTTTAAAATTTTAAATGCTGATAAAAACTCCAAGTGGTCACCTGGAATAACATAAGTTCTGCTTCTTTATGTTTTACAATCACTGGTTACTTCTAACCTACTTAAACTGCAGGGACATGTAGTCTCTCAGGGACTGGAGACCCTACTGTGGTCAACAAAAGCTCACACAACCCTGAACCTTACAAACTGACCACACAGCAGACACCTGTAGCAGAGTGCACCGGTGGTAGGGGCTGGCTCTCCAACTGAGAGTCCTCGGAATTAACTTCCAGGCAGAAGACAATGTTCTGTTCATTCAAGGATAAGTAATTTTAAAATGTGCTAATTTGAAGTTTACCCAACAGCAATCATTTAGAACCTAGACTAATATAAATTTTTTCCAAGGAAGAGTATTTTATCCCTGACATTGTGTAAAATTGCTTGTGCACGGTAATAAAAAAAAAAAAAAAGATTGACTTTTACCCATTTTGTGTGTGTGTGTGTGTGTGTGTGTGTGTGTGTGTGTGTGTGTGTGTGTTAAGGATATTACTGTCCTGGAGCAGGTCTGCCTCAGGCTGGCCTGTAAGTGTGTGGGTTCTTGAATTCGTGCAGAAAAGATCCCACAGTACGAGTCCAGGTGATGTTGAGAGGATGTTTATTAAAGCAAGGGACAGTGAAACAAGGAAGGGCTTAGTTAGGATGGAAGGAGCAACAAGAGAGAGCCTAAAAAGGGCTGCTTTGACTCTCTAGAAACATCATGAGGAAAAGTGAGTCAAGGTGAGACTGCGGTCAGCTCACTGGAAAGTCAGAGAAAAGGGGACCTTGGAGATAGGATCAGGGGGTCAGCCTGGGGCAAGCTGCTGCCCTCATTGCTCCCCTAGTTGCAAGTCTTGTGGGGTCCCTCAGAGTTTAGGAGATGAGTGCCTGCGGGAGAAGAGGAGGAGAAAGGAAAGGTGTGGGCATGCTCCTGGAAGAGCACGCCTGTTATTGTTTTTAAATTCTGTACATACAATGCCCCCTTATTCCCTGTACTGGGGATGGGCCTCTGGCACTGCCCTCTCTTTTATTGACACTGCCTGCAGGTCTCATTTTCTGCCTTCAGAAAACAAATTTTCTTAGCCTGACACAAAGGGAGAGAATATACCTGCCCTAGCACTTGGCTCCAGGCCCCCATGAACTGACTTAAGTCACTTCTAACTGGGCCTGATAATAGTCTATCTGCCATGAACTACAATTATGCCCATAGGAAATTCCAGTGCAATGCTCCTCATGTCTTCAAAGTCACTAATAACTCTTTTGAGCCCTGAGTGATGCAATCTAAACATCACCCCAGACTTGGTGGTAGACGTTACAATCATGTAATATCATGAGCAAATCATATTTGCTCATGAGATTCTTTACAATCACTTTGCTATAATAAGCTTTTAATTACTTTTCAAAGAAAGAAAATGTGATCGATTTGGAATGGTTCTTTTTCTCATGGTGAACTCTAGTGTGTTCTAAGTGTTAACTGCCAAACTA